AGTGGGCATCCGATTCTCCCATAGATGCAACTTGTTAGGCAAAATGGAGGTTGAGGTAACAGATTTTACGGTTTGTTCCTGTGTTTGAATCTGGCTGAAGCAGGAGTGACTCTGGGTGAGCTACACAATGTCTCTGAGTTTCACTTTTGTCATCTATGAGATAGGAATAGGGTTGTCGGAACTGGAGATCATGCATGCTGTGATGCATTTGGCACTGAATAAGCTCTCAATAAGAGATTGCTGTTATTATTGTTCTTATTACTATCTGTCACCACAATCTTTTCCTTGGCCCTCTCTCATAGGGATAGACTGTCGCCAGGGGCAGTATTCATTGTGAAAGTGGTTTGCACTAGATAGATGGAAACTATCTGCATAGTGAATAATGCAATTAAAGAAAACTCAAGATCAGTTCCACCATCTTCTTTATTTTTGCTCATGGGTTATTTGTCGTCAAGTCTTGGATTGTATCTTTTTTGCTACCGCTCTTGGATTTTCCCCTTCTTCTCTATTTCCACCGATTATTCTTCTAAGCTGAACTCTCATTGCTTCCTGCTACTCTGGGGTTCCTGCCTCCAGGCTCTCCTAGAACCCTGGTTCTAAACTGTGTGGTTTCTGGGCTTGTGGCACCCCCAATAAGCCTCCCAGCTTGCTGGAAATATAGCATCTCGAGTCCCACCCAGACCTGCGGGATCAGGGGCATGTTTGCCACCATGCTATAGGGCTTCCATCCACATGATTAGCCAGTACTTGTGTGTTCTGCCTTTGGGCTGTTCCCTATTTCTGGTTGCTCTAGTACCTTTAGCCAGAGGTGGTCGAGAGGGTAATAAGCATGGGGCTGTGGAAAGGCACTAGAATAGGAGAATAGTGGCTCAGTCCGTCACCATCCATTACCTTGACTGCGACAATGGAGTCTCTGAAATGGTTTCTATACTTTTATGATTTCCCTTTATTGCCCTTCTCTACACCACAGGGGGAGATCTTCTAAAGTTGTTAATTGGATTGCATCTCACCCCCACCATACATTGCCTTCCATGGTATCTAGAAACATTCAGAAGACCTTCTTGTAGCCCACAAAGACTCTGTGAGGTGGGCTTTCCTTATCTCCCACTCCGTAATCACTTCACTCAGTAGGGTTTTGTCCTGTGTGTAAGCCAATTTTGTTCCCACTTGACCTTCTGATTCTGCAAATGGCTGGCTTGGACTCTTCATTCTAGGGTCAGTAAAAGTATCTCCTTGGAGAGATCTTCCTTAACCTGTAGCTAAAGTAGCACACCTCTCCGCTTCCCATTTCTTTCTCCCTTTATCTTGCTTTATGTTCTATATAACACTTGAGGTTCTCTGGAAGCCTGGTTACCATAACTTTGTTTTCTTTCCTTATTTGGCAAGCTCATTTGGTGAGAGCTGTCTTAGTTAAAACAGTGATGGTGATGACTTGCTGAGTGCTCCCTATGTGCTAAGCACGGTCTTAATGCAGTCTAATGGATCAGTTTGTTTGGATTATTTCATTCTCTTTAATGGATTCTTTGTTTCTGTCTTTGTCTTCCCTTCGTCTTAGGATGTCAGCTCCCAAAATGTAAGGATGGTATGTATTTGTTGGCCCTCTGTTCCTAGCCTATAGAAGGTTGCCCCAGCATAGGCAGAGAAGTGGTGCTCAGCAAATGGTTGTTTAGAGAATGTGTGGACCCCAGAAGGTTATTGCTGGGAAATGAGTTTACATAGAAGGAAAAAGAAAGAGACCCTCATTGCCTGCTCAAGGAGAAAATAGCTTTAAGTTCATCATTATCTTTAGTCTAAGGGAGCAGACGTTGGAATTGGAGTTGGGATTTGCTGTCACAACCTTGGGTACAGAAGCAGATCCTGACAGTCTAGGAGAGGGGTTTTCAAGTGGCACCTTAATGAGAACAAGTCATTGCTAAACTCTTCAAGTCTGGTGTGTAGCGTGGTGGGAAATACAGGGCCTTATGACTTTTACGTTCTTTGCGCGCACGCTGTCAATGTGCGTATGTGAGCCTTTTATTATTATGGACTCAGCCGGCAGTAACCATGGTGAGTAGACCTATCACACAGCATTTTTTCTGAGTTGGTTTAAAATGCTGACAATTAAATATACCGTACTCTTTTAAGCGATCCATCAGTCTCCCTTGTTGTCATGGTGACCGGAGTATATTTAGAAATGTGACAAGTACACTGAGTTCAATTGCACTTTTGCCAAAACATAGTTTTGCAGCTAAAATTGAATTTCCTGATTGAAGATCCAAGTGCTGTTAAGGGGGCATAATCGTTTCTATACATTATTCTGGAAGCATAACTTACATCATTCTATTAAATCAGCAGTTAAAGTCTTATCGGGCTAGTAAGATACTGACACTTGAGTGGTTGTGTGTGGAGTTGATGAAGTAAAATAAAGGTGGCATCATGTTTTTTCCTTTAAAAATGAAATTGGGCCTCAGCAGTATAACTAGTTTAATGATTAATTCCCTTATATCTTTATAAAGAAATTATAGGTAAGCACGCATGGTTCTTTTCTTCCAGATTATCTTTTTAATTGAAAGAAATTTATTAGCACCTCCTCTCTCCTACATGCAATCTATTCTTAGCAGTATGAGGGCATCTCTTTTTCTTTTGGTTTGACCTCGGGTTGACGAGCATCCTTATTTTTCCCAGCCCTGTTCCTGCTGGGCTTTACATGGGGTAAAGAGATGAAATGAACATGACTTTTTGCCCCTGGGGGCTGGGGGTAAGAGAAAATGAAAGTCCCCTCTCTTGTCTGATCAAGAACTAGGTCCAGATTCTCCCTCCCTGTCCTTTGACCTGTCACTACAGTGCCTGGAGAGTGATGTTGGGGAGGCAGTCCTTGCTTGGTCCACTACCAGAAGCTGGAGGAACTTAAGCAGTGCCTGGTCACTGTGACCACCCTGCTTCCCTTCCTGACCAAAGACGGATTGTTTTCACTTTGGGGTTGAGAAGTGAGGACTCCTGGATACTTTTGCCTCTGAGTTTTCATGGAGCTGAATGTGTCAGCGAGTGGGGTAGATTTTGAGCCCCTGATACTATATGGTTAAGTTGTGTTTATTTCTTTCATGTGCATCGCAAACAATGAGAGACATCTTAGTTATCATAACAATGGGTAAGATTTCCTGAGGTTTTTTCCATTCAATATGCTAGGCATTGTGAGTTGTAGGGTTGGATTTATTTATTTATTTGAGAGAGAGAGAGAGAGAGAGAGAGAGAATGAGCAGAGGAAGAGGAAGAAGCAGGATTGGGGTACCTGACCTTGGGCTCGAATCCCAGGATCATAGGATCATGACCTGAGCTGAAGGCAGATGCCTAACTGACCGAGCCACCCAGGTGCCCCTGTAATAAGGATTTTAGTGGGTCATTTCAGTGGGACTATACAATAAATCTTATGAAGTAGCTCTATTGCCATTCTTATTTCACATTAAAGAAACAGATGCAGAGAGATTTTGTATTTTGTTCGAGAGGATGCCCCAAATAGTCATGGAGTCTGGATTCCGATCTAAGTGTCCTCTTAACCGGGGCCTGCCCCACGGAAGGCACACAGTAGATATTTGTTACTAATAAGGGGCCTACTCCGAGAAGTCGCACAAATGTTTCAGTGTTTCCAAACATTCATGGATGTGGCCGCTACGTAACGGTGGACAGGAGCAGGGTCCAAAGGCATCGCTGAGCCACTCTGTGTCTTCCCTCGTGGTTTAGAAGCAAAGGAGATTGATAGTGGGCTGGAAGGGAGCATACGTAAGTCACATCCAAGTGCTGTGGGTTTGGTCTCAGGACCTGTTTACATTCTTTAACATGAGTTTTTGTTTATATGGATGATAGCTAATGATATCATCTTAGAGATTAAAACAGAAATAGAAAAGATTTGAAAGAAAAATGTTTGTATGAAAATGAGTACATTTTTAAAAAAATAGTGAGAAAAATGTCAATTTGTCACAACATATGCTTTGATTAAAGTTTATAAAGAAAATCCTGAAGGAATTTACCAAAGGACTGGAAGAAGTAGAAAAGATGTAATTATGGGTTTCCTTTTTTAATATTACACCAAAACTTGATAGGTGGTGGTTCCCTAATGTGAAATCTGAAATCGTTTCACTAAACTTCTTTATACTGTGTTATATTAAAATTCATTGGTCTAATATTCACTTTGAATTGATCTCCACCTCTGTAACACCACAAATTGCTCATTTGGAAATACTGGCTTACTTTAATTTTCCAGATGTTGACAAGTTTCGTTCTGTAACAACAACAAAATCACATTCATTAATATCACCACTGCTTTCATCAAAAAATATATTGTTGTTATATGTATTTATAATTATCATATATTATTATAAAATTATTAAGAATATACCAAGTATACAATAATAGTAGATGCAAGGTTTTTAAAATTCTAATTTTTACCTTAAAACTGATTTTTATCATTGGCAACAAATTCTGTTAGTTTTTTTCCTTGAAATGATGGAATCTCTTGGTTTATTTTTGAGATAGTGTCTGGCAACACGAAGTCTGAATGACCACAGTTTGTCAGTCATTCTTTCAAATAAAAGTGAAAGTTCTATGCAGAGAGCTGTTGGGTTAGCTCTTGATTTGGACAGTCATACAAGTGCATTTCTTGAAGATGACCATTATTGTTCAGGGTTCAGCAGAAGGTCTTTGTGCCTACTTTATATTTTGTCACGCAGGATATTAGCGAGACGTGTGCTCAGAGATTGAGTTTCATAAAATTAATCATGTTTAGTGCATGGCAGAGCGTTATAAATGGAACTAGCCCCGTCTCCCCTTTCCTGTGGGGACCTGGTGGTGAAACGTACAATGGCTCTCAGGACATTTTGGTGCCACTGCTTGATTTGTGTTACGACTTTGGCCATTTTTACCCTCTCTTGATTGCTCTTGCCCCATCAGTGCCAGTGTCAACACTGAAGAACACTCATCATAGGCGTTGAGAGCCACTGATCTAATCCTGTCCTTTCGTTTTTTAGGCGAGCAGAGCCAAAAGGGGCCTAGCCAGGACCACAGCACTGGTTAGTGGCAGAGCTTGGACAAGAACCCGGTTATTAGTGAATTCCTCTTTTCTTCTTTTGATTTCCTGTGCCAGTTTCAGGAATCTCAAGGTAGATGTTTCTGAACTTCTTTTGTGAATATGGGATGCCAAATATATATAATTATTGAATTTATTTGGGAAGATTTCCATATATATATATATGTATATATATATATATATATATTTTTTTTTTTTTCTTATGAAGCCCTTGGCGTATTTTTCCCACTCTGTGCTCAGACCCGTACCATGGCCCTCTTTTCCCACTCTTTGTAGTGACCACTGCTGCTCTTTAAACAGAAAGGGTTTTGTGTTTGCCAAGACCTGAGAGAAGTTGAAGGAGTGGCTCAGTGCTTGTTCATTTTCTGGTTTAGAATTTCAGCTTTGTGGGGGAAAAGAGACTCAGGGACTTTGGGTCGAAGTAGCCACTTCCTTCTTCACCTGGCTTAGCTTAGCTCAGGAAAAGTAACTGCACACACACCCGTTCTCTTATCTGTCACGCGAATTCATCTTGCTGGACGACCCCTGCCTCCCACTTCTTTACTAGAATCCTCTCCCTCCCTTTTTTCTTTCCTATGGGAGGGAGGTTGTCCAATAAAAATTACCCTTTGCTTTCGTTCTTACCGATGTTAATATTTTATGTGATCTGTTTTCTTCAGTAAAAACTGGTCAGACTGACACTGTGATGGTGGATGCTGGGAAAAGCCATAGTGCTCGACCCAGATATCATGTTTTCTCTTCAGTCCCCCTCTCTTATTTACAGTAGATTTTGGGGGGATCGGGGTCAGACAGGTCATAGTGTATTAAAATGAGTGAATCTGGCTGATTATAAACTTTGGTCCAGTGCACTCTCAAATGGATTCTTCTCTCATTTTCCAATATATTGAGTTTTCTTTTGCGAGATCTCCTTTGTTCCTAGTTCTCATTCAGCATTTCATTGCGCTCTCCCACCTGTCAGCTATTTTGCCTTTTTGTTTTGTTTTGTTTTGACTTTGTTTTCTGACTTTTTTCTGCTTCCTCTGTGGCTATCTTGGTTACCAGAAGTGAGCTCTGATGTGATCTTCGGTCATCCTGTGAATCAGCTCTTCCCTACACTTAGGCCTTCCATGACTTCCTTTTCTTTGCATAAAACAGATACTTTGTACCTTTGCTTCGGTGTGGACCATTTAGGTTCTTCTCTTTCTTTCTGAGACTTCGGTTGTGGCTCTGTCTAGCCATTCATGAGGCTCATGTATTATGTACCAGCAGTTCAGGTTTAACTCTTTCAAATGTGTTTTCTGCCTGTCTAATGTGTGGCGCATCTTTGCCTCTCCGTGGAGGTGCTGAATGGGTGCTCTTTTCACCCAGGGGTCTCCTTTTTAAAGGCTGTTGTTCAGATTGGTATCTGGAGATCTGAGCTGTTGTTTATCTCTCAGCACTGGGCAGCTAAATCTCTGAAGCACAGAGCCGCAGTGGCCCATCCTCGGATGCTGACTCCCTCCCACTGCGGGGGTGCTACACACACCTTCCCTGATAGATGGCAATTGAGCCTCTACTTGAGCACTTCAGTTCTTGGGGAGGCCATTTGTTCTACTGCTGGACGGCTTCATGTTTAAAGTTCTCCTCTGCATTGTTCTGAAACTGGAGTTTTCATGGTTTCAGCCCTAAGAGTTCTAGCGCTATGTATTTTGCAAATGTGTAGGGTGTCTTATACATGACCAGTCCTCCGATTCTCAAGGGTAGCTTTGAGTCCTCCATCCCCTTCACTGCTTGCTATGTCTCTCTTAGGATTGCAGCAGGTTTGGATGCTTATATTCTTTATCCCCAACCCCCTCCCCGCCAGGTCCACATCACTTTCTGGATTTCTGCCATGACTTCTACGTCTAAAGTTCTCTTTCCAGCCTACTTCTCTGTTCGATATGGAAACAGTATGAGTCTGTGGGTCTAAAAGTTGGGATATGCATAGGGAATAGAGTCAGTGATATTGTGATAGCACATATGATGACAGGTGGTAGCTCCCCTTGTGGTGAGCATAGCAGGACTTACTGTTGGATCACCATGTGTATCTATGGAACACTTTTGCACTTGGAACTAATGTAACATTGTGTATCAAGTATACTTCAGTAATTAAGGAAAAATAGCTAGGATATAAATTCTAGTACCATAACTTACTCGGGGGGGGGGGGGAACTCAGCCAGATTACTTAATTATTCTGAGCCTTGGTTTATTCAGATACAAAATGTATATAATAATGACTTCTAAGAATATTTTTTTTTTAAAGATTTTTATTTATTTATTTGTCAGAAAGAGAGAGCGCGAGAGTGAGCACAAGCAGATAGAGTGGCAGGCAGAGGCAGAGGGAGAAGCAGGCTCCCTGCTGAGCAAGGAGCCCGATGTGGGACTCGATCCCAGGATGCTGGGATCATGACCTGAGCCGAAGGCAGCGGCTTAACCCACTGAGCCACCCAGGCGTCCCAACTTCTAAGAATATTTTTAAGGATTGAAGTATGCAAAATGCTTGGCTCAGTTGCAGAAATGTAGTTTGTTTAATAAATGTTACTTTTTGCTTGATTAACTCTTTTTGTCTTTAATCTTTCCAATGATTTCATTTTTAAAAATTTTAATTCTAGTACAGTTAACATACAGGTAATGTACAGTGTTACGTTAATTTCAGGGGTACAGTATAGTGATTCAGCAAGCCCACACGTCACTCAGCGATCCTTGTGGTAAGTGCACTCTTAATCCCCAACGCCTGTTTCACTCACCTTCTCACCCACCTCCCTTCTGGTGACCATCAGTTTGTTCTCCATAGTTAAGAGTCTGTTTCTTGGTTTGTCTCTTTTTTTCTTTGTTCATTTGTTTTATTTCTTAAATTTCACGTGTGAGTGAAATCATATATTTTCTTTCTCTGACTTATTTAACTTTAGCATATACTCTCTAGCTAGGTCCATGCCATTGCAAATGGCAAGATTTCATTCTTTTGTATGGATGAGTACTATTCCATTGTATATGTATATGACATATGCATATATATTTTTATAATATATAATTATATATTTATATAATACAAAATAATAGTATGTATCTATAAATATTAATATAATAGGAACTTTAATATTAATATTAATAGACATGTCAATAATATATAATACAATAGATAAAATTAATAATATATAAATATATATAAATATATATTATATATATTTAGGTATATGTAAATGTCAGGAAAAGCATGTGTCGCATCCTGACAGTGGAAAAGAGTCAGCATTTAAGATGGGCCACTGTAACTCTGTGTTTCCAAGATTTAGCTGCCCAATATTGAGAGATAAAGAACAGCTCAGATCTTCATATACATATGTATATATGTACACCACCTCTTCTTTATCCATTCCTCTGTCGGTGGACACTTGGGCTGCTCCTATAATTTGGCTATTATAAATCATACTGCAGTAAACATAGCGGTGTGTATATCTTTTTGAATTAGTGTTTTTGTATTTTTTGGGTAAATACCCAGTGGAATTATTGGATCATATAGTAGTTATATTTTTAAGTTTTTGAGGAATCTTCATTCTGTTTTCCATGGTGGCTGTATCAGTGTGCATTCCCACCAACACTACAAGAGGATTCCTATTTCTCCACATCCTTTCCATCGCTTTTTATTTCTTGTGTTTTTGATTTTAGCCATTCTGACAGGTGAGGTGATATCTCATTGTAGTTTTGATTTGTGTTTCCCTGATGATGAGTGATGTTGGGTATCTTTTCATGTGTCTGTTGGCTATCTGGATGTCTTCTTTGGTAAAATGTCTTTTCATGTCTTCTGCCTGTTTTTTAATTGGATTCTTTGGGTTTATTTGACATTAAGTTGTATCAGTTCTTTATATATTTTGGATACTAACCCTTTATCAGATATGTCATTTGCAAATATTTTTCTCCCATTCAGTAGGCTTTTAGTTTTTTTGATTGTTTCCAATGATTTCTTTTTATATTTTATAGATATGAGTTGATTTTTAGAATTCATTATTTTAAGAATTTCTCCCTGTCTCTCTCCCTTTCTTTTCCTATCCTTTCTTTCTCGATTTTATTCATACCTACAATCCTAAAAAAAAATTCTTGTTACTTCTAGATCATTTCTAGATGTTTCTAGATCTCATTCATGTTACTTTGTATAGAAATTACCTTTTTTTTAATTTTGCAAATCCTATTTTTATCTACATGAATTTATTCAACTCCTGCCTACATCTCTACTTGTGTGTTAAGCTTTTATTATTTTTCCTGTGAAGAACATTTGTCCACACCTTTACTGGGTTAATGATGACTGAGCTATTGCAGGTTACTCAAGTCCTCATTGGACTCCTCACTCAGTAGCTTTTAGAGTTGCTTAGTTGAATAATATATTTTAAATTAAATTTTCAGTTAATGTCAATTCAACCAACATTTACTAAACACTTCTAATAGGACATGCGTTGAGCTAGGTGCCCTAGGAATTACATAAAACACTGTTTTAATTTGTCCATGCATTCATTCATTCAACATTTTCTTGAGTACTAAAGATCAGATTCTGGGTTTGGGGTTCAAAAAACTGAGTTAGACAGGGTTTCTTACCTCAAGACATGTAATCAAATAAACATATGAAGACAGGGTGGTAATTTTGGTGATCTAGAAATAGATCCTACCAGGGATATGAGAAGGGCTACTTCACCAAACCTTTCTAGGTTGGGAAAAGAGTCAGGTCTAGGTTGGGATGCTTAAAAGTTGAGTAAGAGGCTTAAAGTCCATTGGAAAAATAAGACCCTACTAGGGTTTAGATTGTGTATGGTTAATAATAAGCTGATTCTGTGAAAATCAACCACCAAGTTCCATATGTTCCCCTTGACTCTCCTCCTCCCTCCAATGGTATTCATACAACATTTTTCATTCTTCTGTTTATTTTAGGGACCTTAGAACCAGCAGAATAACTGAAAGATAGATGTGATGCTAATATATATAGGTTTGCTTTTGGGACCTAATTACTGCCTGAATGCATATTTCTGCATTCCAAAGTAGCAATAATAACATAAATACATAAAAATAATCTCATGATAGTATGACATATTACAAAGTATTTCTCAATCCATCATTTCATTTACTTCTTATAGAACAGCTTAGTGCTTGTGGGTTTCCTGAGTGTCTTAAGCACTGTTACTGATAGATAAGAGCATAAGAGTTAACACTGAATAATTATGGATGGAGGGTTTGCAAAGAATTTTTTTTTCTCTCTTTTATTCCAAGATGATCATTCTGTATTTCTCATTTTATGCAGATCACAGGACCTGGTCTGCCCATAAGGAGGCATCTAGGAAGGTGTCCCTTCACCACTCTGTGCCTCAGCTTTGTTACTTGTCCAATGGGAATATTGCTACTATTACTAACAGTAACACCAGCTTCACCCCACTGGATGGAGATACAGAGTAGAATCATTAATTTGTGTGAGAACATAATGTATATAATTGGTCACAATTGTAGATCAAAATGCACCCTTTGAGTGATCAGATCGTCAGCTCCTTCAGTCAAAATGAGTTCAACTTCATTTTTACCTGTTTCTCCATGCTTTCTAAGGTAGCTTTATGTCTTCCTCTCTTCCATTTAGCCAAAAGGGACTGCAGGCACGTGCTGTATGTCTTTATAATAAGCACTTGTTGATTGAATTTTTTTTTTTTAAGTCCTGACCTTTTAAAGTCCAGTGCTAGAAATCTGTAAGCTACTTATATTTTTGCTTAGGATTCCTAAAGCCTCTCATCTAATTTCTAGATTATAAGTTCATTGATAGAACCCTTATAAATATCACATTAAGAAGCTGAGCATTACCTTTAGGCCAAAGCAATTTACTTTTTAAAAATCTGATTAATTTCAACACAATCAGCCAGGATGTCAGAAGATCTCAGTGCCTCTGATAGATGCTGACAGGTGAGGAAATTAAAATCAGGGAGGGAAGCAATTAAATACTGGCAAACATTACTTTAATGAGACAACCAAATCATTCATAAGCCATGGAATATGTTGTATTCTTGATAAGTATCTTAGGGTGGTGGGTGAGAGAGTAGAGTGCATTTAAAAATGCTCTTTATATGGGATCTGATGATGGGAATTGAGGCCTTTCTGTGTTTGTTACCTGATGCCTTTGGTCTGGTCTAACATTCCTATTGTTTTCAGAGACAGACTTCCTAATAATCATGTTAAAGATTATGAGAGTGTTTAATTTAAGCAAATCTAGTATATGATTTAATTTAAGCAAGTAAATAGTTTAATTTAAATCGATCTTACTAATCCTTTCCCTCTACCTGTACCCCTACCTAAAACTCAGGCAGACACACAAAACGCAAACAAAGTAATTTTTGGACTTTCACAGGTGGTTTAGGGACAGCCATGGTCAAGACCTATGAAAAGAGATACAAACAAACACATAAAAACATATTTTGTACAACTTCTAATACAGAAGATTTGGGAATTAAAGTGCTAAGAACAGAACCCAGGCACTCATTCCCCATCCAGCTCTTCTTTTCAAGATAACACCCCCATATTCAGGAGGGACATCTGGGACCACGGTGCTCAAGAGTTAACCGTTTGTTGGCTTAGTGTAAGTTTTTACAAGGCTCTGTCATGTTGGTCATTGGTACTATAGCACTTGTAAAATATCAAGTATTAAGAGGTATTTTTACATTGGCCACAGTGATTCTGGTGTCAGTTGGTTGGAATTTGTGTTCATACTGTGAGGTTCATTATCGCAGAATTGTGTTGGTTAAAAATTGTCCTGCAGTATGGGGGTCCGTTCAGAAGCCATTGTGGTTTGTGAAAAACCTACTGGAACAGTTCTCTCTGCTCTCCTCATTTCTTATATCCTTCCATTCCTTTCTGCTTTTCCCTCTCTCTCTTTTTCATTGGCTTCATTTGTTCCTTCCTGTTTTTCCCAAAATACAGTGTAAATTATCAACTATTCCATCCGAGCTCCAAGTTGACTTGGTGAATCTTGCTTTTGCCTGTACTTTAATGAATAGGTTGAAGGTTTATAAACTGAATGCTGAGCATACAGGTTTCTTCCTTTTGGGTTGAAATTGCTTCTGAAGATGAGAATATTTTTCTTGAGAGAGGATGGGTGGTTTGAAGAAGGATGCAGACTGCCAGGGTCTTGGTCAGCAGTCATAAATACAGAGGTGGCTCTGGATGACTGGCTTTATTAACAAGATGGCTCTAGTGGGGTTTGCCACTGGGTCTAGTGGAGAACTCCATTGCATTAGATAATACACCTGAGTTACTGAGGACACTTGACCCTTGAATCATGTGAAGAGGGCTGGTGAATTTCGTAGCGAGGGGCTTTAGCTTCTCTACAGCTGAGCATTGAGACCTCTTGATGAGAGAGAATTCAGGGGTGCTGGCTTCTTTGTTTCTGTGGCTTATGTTTTGAGAATTTGCCAAAGATGTTGCATCTCTGAAGCTGCACTGGGGAGAGCTGAGAAAGTCTGCATGGTAACTCTGTATTGAACAGCTTCATAATGTGTCACCTTCTGGTTAGACCACAGATATGAAGTCGTCTCTCTCTCTCTCTCTCTCCTTTCACTTGTCAAGGAAGCAGGGCTCAATACTAAATGTGCTTTGGTGACTTTACAGTTGACTTTTATATGGTATGTACTCCCAAATGGGAGGCTGCATCATGTAACAGAAGGGTTCTCACTGGTTCTGGTGTCAAGATTCAAGGTTATATTTTGGTCTGCTCCGTATTAACCATATGATCTTGGAAGTTTGGTTTCCTTCTTGGTAAAATTGGTCATAATGACCAATTTTTGGTCATTTGACCAATGAGTTTGGTGGCCTGTGACAAGACTTTCTTGCAAGGTATCTTATCTACCATGTATTATTCTTAATCCTATTTGAGTCCCCTATGTTCTTCTGTTGGAAGCTCCATCTTTCTGAACCTAAGGGATGAACTTCCAGCCCAAAGGCACAGACTTTCAAACAATTTGAGATGCACCTGCACATCCTTTACCTAAAGCAGCATCTCTTGATTTCTGTGGTCAAGAGGACACATAATTTTTAAATTTTGAGGTGTTGTCTTTTGAAACAAACATTCTCCGTGTCATTGTTAGGGGAGGCCGTGGGACATACACATAGGTAAATATCACAGTGGTTTAGAACTAGGCATATGAATCGAAGAAATTCCCAATCCAGAGATATTCTCCAGCATTATGTGCTTATAATGTCATTCTTTGATCAGATAAACATGGGCTCATAGGAAGAAATATTCATGCTTTGTATACCACCACTGTCCATTCCTATAGATACGAAATAATGGAGGGAAATCCTATGGGGCGCCTGGGTGGCTCAGTGGGTTAAGCCTCTGCCTTCCGCTTAGGTCATGATCTCAGGATCCTGGGATCGAGCCCCACATCGGGCTCTCTGCTTGGTGGGGAGCCTGCTTCCCCCTCTCTCTCTGCCTGCCTCTCTGCCTACTTGTGATCTCTCTCTCTCTGTTAAATAAATAAACAAACAAATAAATAAATAAATAAAATCTTAAAAAAAAAAAAGTTTGCGTTTTGGCCAGGAAGTAGATATTATAATTCCCATTTACATATAAGGAAATTGACACTCAGAGAGTTTAAGTAACTTGCCTAAGGACATCCTTAAGAGGAAGACAAGTCCGACTAGCTATAAATCCCATGTGTTTTTTTCTACTTTCTCATGTCAATCAGATGTTCTGGTTTTATTGTATTATTCTCTCTCCTACCCAGTCTAGTGGATAAAGTCAGTGTGGTGTTTGTGTTTTCCTAACCTAATAGCCCAGGAGAGACTAAGCTATACAGGAAAGATCGCTGGACCAACAGGCAGAGACTGAGAGTCCAAACTTGTACACTGCTGTATGTACTATGTAGTCTTGGACAAGTCACCCACCTTCCTTTCCTAAACTTTCCATTTCCATATCTGTAAAATGAAGAAAGTAATAGTCACTCATAATATATTTGTGGAGTTAGTCATGAGAAATATGTTTGTTCCCTTCTCCTTCTGTCTGTTCCTCCATGCCTTTTTGAAGCGAGTTCCTTCACCTAAAGCAGCATCTCTTGCTTTCTGGGGTTGAGAGGACATGTAATTTTTAAAATTTGAGGTGTTGTCTTTTGAAACAAATATTCTTTATGTCGTTATGAGGGGAGGCCGTGTGAAAATGTTTTACAAAACAAGAAACTGCTCTATATATCTGAATTTATGATAAATATAGCTTAATGCCTAAGAGTAACGCTTACCTTTTTCGTTTACAGACACCGGCATTGCAGTCTGCCAAACCTTGTGTTGTCTGACCATTCCAGGAACTTGCTCTCTGAGGTAAGAGAGGATTCATATTTATGAAAAGCTAATAGGCATCCTGGCGATGATGATGAAGGTTGATTTTACAGAAGAAATGCAAAAGTATTTCATGAGCTCTACAACCTGAAAAAATGGCCGAAGCAGTGAACAGCCTTCCTTTTCTCTCTCCTTGATTTAATATTACCCTTTCAATTTGTAGCCTTCCTGGTTTAATACCAAAAGCACAAAAATCTGGGCAACACAGAAAATTCAGATTTTACAAGTATTTAAGTGTCTATAATGTGCTATGTACTTTTTTTTTTTTTTTTTAAATATTTATTTATTTATTTATTTATTTAGGGAGAGAGCATGAGTGGTGGGGGGTGGGCAGAGGCCGCTGAGCATGGAGACCAATTCGGGGCTTGATCCCACAACTGGGAGATCACGACTTGAGCTGAAACCTAGAGTTGGATACTTAAATGACTGTGCCACCCAGGTGTGCTATGTTCCTTTCTACTGTCTATGTTCTTTTTCTACTGTCTCTTTGTATCCCTAGCTAGCATGTGGCAGGAGGGCTTCTCTCCGGTTTCCTGGCCTTTGGTGGAAGGGAATTTTTCACTATACTGTTCTGTCAATGCTCCTGGCTCTGAAGGGACCAAACTCCGCTTGTCGTGTCTGTCACTGTCTTTTAGCTGCCCCCACAAGATCCCCAAAACACATTATTCAGGGCTACAGTGGCAACACCAGAATCCTAAGAATACAGAAAATGAGTTAGAGGTTTTTGAGACTCAGGCCCCATAGTGTGTACACACCCCTGTTCTGGGGGGGACCAGTGCTAAGGAGCTGGGCCTTTGGCAAAAGAACATATTTGTCTGGAGTTTGTCAAGAAAACAGGGGCCAGAAAGAAATTTAAAGGAAGCATGGTGGTTGCAAAATTTGCAAGATGGAAGTTTTCTTTTGCAGCTAACCAGCCAATATTTGCACTTCCCAGTCAGCTCTGCTGGGTTCCATGTCGTTTTGAGAAGTCTTGGGTGAAAAAGCGGTGACACCCTTGATATGGTGTTCCTAACGTTGGGCCCTGTAGGATAGCAACTCTGTGGAAGATTTGATATCGGCACTTAAAATACTGTAAACGTTTGTTTTGGTGAATATTTCAGTCATGGCTTTGGTATGTTTTTTCCATGATCTTGAACTGTCGGTGTGACTTTAGTTACACAGACCTTTGAAAAAAATTAAAGTTTGTTGTCATGCCTCATAATTGTCAGAATCAACAGTATCGAGTAGAAATTATGGTGTTATTAATATAACATATGTTATATTATATTATATATATTAACAACATATATTAATACTTTTAAAAATTAATACAGTTTTTAAAGCTGCTATTCACCATACACGTCACATAAGAATGTGTCATGGGCAAACAAGGTGGGTGATGTATGGACTGTAGAACTCCTCTGTAATTAGATCAGACAGAGAAGCTGCTTATTGTTTAGATTTTATTCTCATTCCTACGAAAGTGAGGGTTATACAAAATGGTAGTGGCCAAAAACATAAGGATGACTCCTGCCCATCTTTTGGCCCCTCTCTAGTCCCTAAATTACTTCTGCAAAAACTCCTTTCTAATATATTTCATGTGTTTTCGTGGATAAATCTATCAGAAAAGAATGTCGTGTAGACATGTAATACTATAGTTTTTGATAGCCCTGTTAGGCAGAGATCTAAGTGGTTCATTTAGAAGCTGCGGTTATATTAACTTTTCTCCAAATGCCAGTTGTTAAATATTAATAGAGTAAGCTTGGAAACACTGTAAGTATGCCCCTGTTCTGCACGGAAACCCATCTTGAAACTACAAATAGGGGTTTAAGCAAGACTTGAAAGGTTAAGAAATAATTGCTCTTGAGAAAGAGGGATTTCATCTCTGTCTTTTCACCCGTCCATCTAGCTCTCCATCCATATTTTGGAGGTGGGGATTGGTGGGCAGAGAAGGACAAAAACTTCCCCAAATAACCTTTGGGAGGTAGAGAAGTAAATATTCTGGAGGCATGCTGTAGAAACTGAAAATAATCTTGTGGTAATCATTGGTATCAGTGGCAGTAATGAAGAAAGAATAACAGTTTAAATAAATAATTAGACTTGACAGTAGATGTGTCAACAGGTACCCACTTAATGAGTGTAATCATGTTTTTCTCTGCTTTCAGCGTTGATCCACTGACTGTGGTGTGCTCCCTGTTCCATTTCCAAACCAAATCTATTTAAAGCTGCACTTCATGGAATCTGAAACAGTATACCCTGTTTACTATTTAGAGCTGATACCCAATGTTCTTTAATAGGCAAGATCTGTACTTGAACAAGAATAGGCTTCTGGCCTGCAGGAGACCACTGATGATCCTTGTTTTCCACAGGGTGATTCATTAGCGAGGATGAATAATACTGAATTAATTACCACGGACTTGTCTATATTGCTAGAGTGAATTTTTTATTATAATTTGATGGAAATGGCCCTAGTCTACCTGAAATCTGTTTAACCAGTTGCTGCTTTTTGAGGTGGAGATAGAGGCAGGAGTGATACATGAAATCATTTCTGAGTTACCTGGGTAGAATAGCATCGTTTTGGGGAGTGGAGCCATGTGTTTTATGTCGTTCTGTGCGAACCAGAAGTCATGAGAATCTAGTTCTGACCCCAGCTCTGGCTGTGTCACCTTGGCCAGTCACTTTCCCTCTCTAGGGCCCATTTCAGCATCTAACAACAGATGGAGTTGGACCTGTTGATCATGGCATGACTTCTAGTCAAATGTCTTATTGTCTGTGATTTTTATTTCTTAGCCAGTCTTTTCTTTCTCCTGCTGTCACTTTTCTGAAGTCCTAGGTAAGTCTTAGGACCCTGTGACAGATCCAGTGCTTGAAAGTAGGTATTTGTCTATTAGCTTTGGATCTTCTACGTATCAGAAGAGTAGTTCATGATTTGGATTCTATCTATGCCATAGTGGGGTGTGTATGCACTGGCCATCCCTTACCTCCAGCAACATTAAGGTTCTGGTTAGAAAGGAAGAAAACAAGTCCATCTTTCTCCATGTTTCTCTACTCCATAGTCTGGGTCTCATTTTGAGAGGGTCTGGGAAACTTAACCACTGGTTAACATTGTTGGGGTCTTCTGTTGGATTTTTCCAGGTTGAGTCCTTGACCTGTAAGGAGAGCTCAGAATGTCAAAGCCGGAGGGAGGGGACTCTAAGAGCCAGTCTAGCCAAATTCCCTTGTTAGAGACTGAGACTTGGGGTCAAGGAAGGAGTCCAGTTTGTCTAAGGTATTAGTGGCAGATCCTGGTCTAGACTTTTCATTTCACTCCATAGTTCTGTCTCTGTTTGAGGAGAGAGGTCTCTTTCTATAAATTCTCCTTTCTCGTCCCAGGATTTAAAGGGCCATTGTGTGGCAGTGCTGGGGTATGAGATGCTTTCAAAGCAAAAGTGGATTCCGGTCATTCTTGTTAATTTCGTGGGGCAGTGGAGTAAGAGATTCTGGCTGGCTTCTGCTGTCTGTGTTTTATTAGGACACTATGGATTCCCCTGCAGCCCTTCCTGTAAGAGATTACTTGACCCTGACATCACCTCTGTTTCCTCCACCCGCCTCCTGCCCTTTTTTGATCCAGTGAGTTATGGGAGGCTGAGGAGGAGCTCCTAGCTGGCTGTTTACTGTGCGTAGTTGGGAGCATTAATAAAGAGAAGACGGATGAAGGATTAATAAGGAAGAGGACAGGAGAGTAATAGCCAACACAGTGAAATCTAGTTCAAGGCCTGTAATTCCCAGGGGCAGCGCTACACAAGATTAATGGCAACATCTCTCATTCTTTCAGACCGTCTCTCTGCCTTGTTCTTATGGGACTGGGCTGGACTGAGAAGCAGCTGGAGTGATCTTTGCCAAAACCAAACTCATGTGTTCATGAGATTTCCAGGTCCAGAGGAGGGAGTTGAAATTATCCATCATTTAGGAGTCTGTTTAGAGGACACTGGATCTAAGCACGTATTTTGGACCTTCTGATACTGAAATACAGAGTGTGAAAATCATTTTGCCGAGTCCGAAGTTCAAATTATGGCTTTAATTCATTTGCTTTGACTCCAGTGAAGCCATGACCTTGCCCTGAACCTCAGTTTCTCCATCTATGCGATGGGAGGAGACGGAGGTGAAATGGTTGATGTCAAAGTTTCTCTCCGTTCTGATTTCCATGAGTCTCCCCTGGTCCCAGAGCAAGTGTGCAGCTGAGCCAGGTCTAGATTCCAGAACCACCTTTCTCTGGGTTTGCAGCGCTCATTATCTTAACTTTCACTGCCCATGGAGGTTCTAAACAGTGTGTTTGCCTCCCTCAGCCTTTTAAATATTAAAACCATCTTTTTTTCCTCCCTCAGTGGGAAGGTCTCTTTTTGTCAAGGGACTTGCCTAAGGCAGTGTTTTTTAACTCTTGTGTGATGCCTGTGTGTGTTTGGGGGGATAGGCGGCAGCGTAGGGAAGAGGATTATGGAATATTGAAGAAATTAGGTGAATCTATGAAATAGTTAGAAAATGCACATCTGCATAGAATGTTGGCTATAATTTTAGGAGGCTTCTAGGGCTTCTGAAGGCCAATGTAGATTCTAGGTTAAGCAGAAGGCGTTCTTTGATAAGGAAGGCCCAAGGTGACATTTGGCTAACATACATTTCCTGTTGCTGCTGGATTTTTTGTAGTTCACCTGTGGTTCTCCTCTGAGTCTCAGCCTCGTTTATGAGCCTTACCCTGCGCAGTTCAATGTCTCAAACTGTTGAGTGATATTTTAACATTGAGACTGCTGTTCTGCTCTCTTCACTCACTCACTCACTCAAACTACTACTAACCCAGAATCAGTAAATGATAGCCATTTTTATATATTATTTCACTTAATCTGGCAAAACAGAAAATTATTTTTTTGTCCGTTTTTCGTGTACAGAAGCTGAGGTCAGAGTGATTGAGTAATCTGTCCAGTCATACAGCTAATAAATGGCAAAGTCTGGATTCCAATCCAGACCTGGTC